AATAAATTTAAATAAAAAAAGTTTTTAATATTAAATAAAAAGTTATAAATAAAGTTTATAATACTTAAAATAATAAAAATAATAATTTTATAAAGAAGCTTAGTTAGTATAAGTCTTATAACGTGACATCTCTAGGCTCACACCGTCGGAAGACTTGCGCTTTTTAGGATTCTTCGGTGCTGATGCACCCTCTCTTCCCCCCGTGCGCGCCGCAGTACTGGCTTCTTGGTCGGAAGCCTTGCGCTTCTTGGTCTTGCCTGCCGATGCAACCATCCTGGGCCCTTTGCGCGCCGATTTTTTGGCTTTATCGTGTGGAGCAGGGCCGGTATTTGCTGGGTTAACGTCTGCTTCGACATCTATATTGCTTGCGGTGTGCGCATTGGTGTGTGCATTGGTGGTCTGCGTGCCTGCTGGGACCTCGTCGTCGGATCTCTCTGAGTCAGGAATCTCGTTTTGCCTTGTTCCAACTGGCGCTATGGCCGGCTGCCCAGCATTGTGCTCCTGTGGCTGCTTGTCGTCAACGAGATCAAGTTCACCATTCATGTCGCCAGCAGGTTGCGCCCGGAACGCAGCTTCGCCCGTGTCATCTTGAGAGTCATTTCCCCCCAGCTGAAATCGAACTCCTCTCGGTACTTCTGTTGTAGCCTGCGAAGAAGTATCCGAGTCATCGTCATCGGATGAATCATCGGAGAGATTGATTATAAAGGTCTTCTGGTGCTGCTCGGCCTTGGAACTTGCAGGCTCATCATTCTGAGGGCCCGCGGTCCAGAGTCTGCAGTTTTTTTGCGAGTCAGTCTTTGGGAGGCGGAAGCTCCGTCGCGCGTGTTGGCTGGTGGCATTGTCACGCTCGGTGTCGAGGGTCTGCTGGGTGTGGAAAGAAGGTGAAGGAGACAGGGTAACGAGCTGTGACGATGGGCAAACACGACCCTTTTATACATTCTCTGGTCCTGTCTCTCACATGACAGGGCAGTGATAGCACGTGAGACGCGAGTTCTCAATACTCATTTGTTGAACTGCAGCCGTCGCTTGCAGCCCGACCAAAATTTCGTGGCTTGACGGAGCCGACAGAGGGACTGCCTTCTGCGTTGGCAGGACGTAGGCTACATTGCCTCGCGGACAAGCCACAATCCTCGCTCGAGAGTCGTAATATGCCAGGGAGATGCTCCAGAATAGAGGCGCGCTCCAGGTGATCACTGTTCGGTCCCAAAAGTGAGCCACGAGTCTCATTCCTCTCGGCCTTCATTCCAACTTCAGCATGCCCTTCCACCATCCAACCCTAGCTGCGAAAGCCACAAGTTTGTCAGTTGCACCGCCAAACGACCCCGCCGCCGTCGAAATGTGTCTTTCGTGCTGGTGAGGGCATCGTCATCAGAAGCGACAAGGCCGAAGCACCCCATGAGATGGCCGTGATTGAGTAGTAGTTAGAGATGTATGAGCTTGTGACGAGCTGTATTCGTTCCTTGATTTGGCGGGTGAACATGGGCCTATCCGCCGACCGCCTTGAGCTGTCACCTGACTAGGCTGCACAATTGCTCCTTTGTAGCAGGTATTTGGAATCTGGCATCGGGCCAGTTCGGGTAGCGTTTTCGTTTGCATTCGCCGTAGACGGGAATATACTCGAGAAAGGGGGGCAAGGGGGGGAAGGGGAGGCCGCTGGTCAATCCGCCGCAGTATGCGCTTACTTCCAAGCACTGACAAAAGCATGAATAAGCTGCTTCATCCACTGTACCATGTGAGACGAATCAAAATAGGAAAAATTTGCCTCTACGTCAAGAGCAAAAGCGTCCGGTGCCTCGGCTGTCCGTGATTGAGGGCGACGACATCGTTTCTCGGGATGTAACATATCCGCTCGATGCCTCTTTTTCATTGCCTCTCGGGCGACTTCCTCGTCCTGCTGTATTTGAATAAGTTTCTTTTCGTGCTCCCTCTTCAGAGCTCTGCGCGTTTCTTCAAATTTTCTGTTTGCAACTTTCCTCTTTTTCCCTTTGAGACTTTTCGTGGCAGATATCTGTTGTTGATGCAAACTCACTCGCTGAGCTTTTCTCACTTTGCCAAATGCTTTTAATCTGGCCCCGAGTTTAGCCTCTAAATCGGCTCTTTCTCGTTTATGCTGCTGTGCTTTCGCGCACCGATTTGGATGCAGACCGCCAGCGGATGAGAAAACCTCCTGCACCGGTTTACACGTTCCAGGCTGGGATACAGACGGCGATAGCAGCGGCCCGAGTAGATGGCAAAGTGCCCAATTGGTTGTTGTCGCCGGATGGGGTAACTGTAGAGACTTCCTTCTTTTGGCTTTTCTCCAAGGCATGGCCGGAGGTCGTTCACCATATTCGTCGATCCAAGAGCAAACAGCGTCTTCCGGCCAAATTTGATACCTGAAATCAGAAGCCGCGGCGACATTCGGGTGGGCTATTTCAATTCTAGTAACAGCCCGATTCCCCAGCTCCCCAGTGATGATTGGCGCCTCGATGCATTGGAAACTGGTATTTCCATCGGGATGGAAGCGCTGGGGTGGAGGGTTAGACAGCACTGTCACGACCTCGCCCTGACTGATTCGCAAAGCAAAGAGCGCAGACGCGCCATGTATGTAATCGATCCATGCCGCGTGGCTTTTTTGCCTTTACGGACAGAGCTGATTTTTGGTATCCATGTATGCTCCCATGGCAGTAGTCAATGTCTGCAAGTCATGAGCATCTGCCCACTTCTGTGCCGCTTCGCGGGTCATTCCTGTCCACAGCACTTGTTTATCCGGGACGCACGATTTCTGCAGTTGAACCGCTATCGAGGCTATTTCCGCAGAAGAAAGATTGCCGTTGATGAACTGCAGAAGGGTATCCGGGCATTGATTCATCGAGTCGCAGATGAGAGAAATAGAGTCCGTTGGGGGAGCAGTTTTCCTGCTCTTTTTCTTCTGTTGCAGTGTCATAGTGATGTAGACAGAGTCATTGCATGTTAGCTGTCACGATATGAGGCCAGTGTTCTGCCTACGAGGCTCCATGAAAACAAGTAGGAGAGGCACAGTTTACACTAACCCTGATGCGGTCAGCACTCTGTACTGGAATGCGTATACGCAGTCGCGCACGTCATAAATTATTGGCTCAAAGAAATTCAGCCAAAGATCCTTCACAGTAGGTCAGTTCCAGTAGAGGAGGCTATGACATAAATGAAAAGTAAGATCGCCATCTTAGACGACTGAAAGTTTCGGTTAGTGCGTAGCTCGCGAACGCCCAAGAGCACAAAGGCCGACCAGATTGTGAACCCTATGCTCGCGGAAGCATACATGATTCTGCAAATTAATAATTCTGAGCATTTTGTGGGGAGATTCCACCCGATGAGCAGAGAGCCAGTAAGCCAAAAAATTGTCGAAACTGCATAAAGAAGTAAGCAAAGTAAAGGTTTATATGCTTCTCGATAGATGTTGGTTGATATAATGCTGTATGCGCATACGAGCAAGGACCAGATGCTAGCGACGAAAATGAAAATCCATCGATTGTCAGCTTCGTTCACAACTATTTCTGATTAGTATTCCGTAATGCGATATTGTGCGAAAGAGCCAAAAGGATATCTTACTCCAAGCGAGAGAACAATTTGGACAGCGACTAAAAGAAGGAACGAGGTGCAGTCACACCTACCTGTGCCACACGCCCCGTTTCCAGTCATGAAATCAACACTGTTGCATAACGAACAGAGGAAGCTTAGAGGCGAACGAAGCATACCTGAAGGAGTCGGACGATTCTCCAAGACAATTGACACGGCCCTACCGGGGGACCACACTCAAAAAATTTACGAAGAGCATTCATGGAAGGAGCGATCAACGCTTGCTCAACTACGGACGGACTTTGCAAGGTTGAACGGATACCTCCACCGTATCAAGGCAGTGTCCTCCGGGCAATGCGCGTGCGGGGAGGCGAGAGAAACGGTGGAGCATTTTCTTTTACAGTGTCCACAGTGGGATGAACAGCGGAGAGTGTTTCGCGAAGACGCAAGTACAAAACGGGATGACCTGTCCTTCCGATTGGGAGGCAAATCAACAACAGACAGACCGAACTGGAAACCAAATCTGGGAGCAGTTCGAGCGACGATACAGTTTACACTGGCAACGGGACGGTTCGACTATTGACAAACAAATAGCCAAGATAAGCTGTCAACGTACCACGGAACCGCAGTCACGATGAAATTGACTAGCGACGCTTCGGTCGCTGTAGATAGGACTCCGAACACTTGAGGAATAGCCCTCAAGCTAGCTAGTCATCGATAATAAACAAAGTGAATGCGGCTGGGTGGAGGCGAAAGACGAAGCAAGGCGACCAAGAGGATGACAAGGATAGAAACGAAAGGTACATCGGGAAAAAAGCAATCATGTATCTAAGCATAGCTAGTGAGCCCTATTGGCCGGAGGCCACCCGGGCGTAATAAATCATGAACGAATGAATATGCATAAAGCATCTGTACCTCCGCAATTGAATGCTTCATTTATGGCAGCAGCTTCTTGGAGGATTTCCACGTAAGTTGATGAACTTGACTTGATAAAGCGCCGACTGGCTACGGGCTACGCCGTTTGCAGGCACGAAAGCTACTCCGCACTACACCTAACAACGCTGGAAACGGCAAGTGACACTCTCGACAATCCGACGAGGGGTGGCAGAGCCAATATGTATAGTAGTATCTTATATATATTACTTGTTTATAATAGCCCTCTACTAGTGTAGGCCCAATTAGAATTTCTAGAGCAAAGGTTCAAATTTGACCTCAAAAATCCAATTAAACCAAGTAGATCAGAGCAAAGGTACGCAACATTAGATGGTCGGTCTTATCCTATCGCTCATGCCTCGCCTCACTATAGCTAAGAAAGCCAATCAATTTCGCTTTGTTAGCGCCTCGGAAACATGCGATTTCCCTCAATTACTGTCAATAATGAGGGAAGTTATCTTGGGGGTATCACTAGCTGAGTCAGCCAGTGGCGGGCGTCACGCCTGCCAAGTCGCCAACACTGTCGTACGGATTGTTTCCTGCGCTTACGTGGCCATCTACCAATTTCCTTCATCTCGTCGCCGTGCTGCATCTCGGCTCTTGCACGCACGCGGGATGATGACCACTATCTTGGATTACGGCACGGCCGATCCGCAACGCAGCACCCAAAAGTCCGAGAGCACCAAGCACGGCGTGCACGCTAAGATTTGCTCCAGGCCGAGGTCCCGCACCCTGCCCTCGAGGTAGGTCATGGCCGCCGCAATCAGGTCCCACCGCGGCGGCTGGAACATGAGCAGGTTCGTATGACTCCAGCACGTCTGGACCTTTTCGAAACGATCTTCCCTGCCCTCATTGTCAAAATGGTGTAGGTACGGTGTTCCATCGAGAAGCTTCAGCGCCTGGTTAATCCCCTCCCGGTCCTCAGGCACGAAACTCGCGCCCGTCTGCAGCAGCTCGAGCCATACTGGCGGCTTGGAGTGATAGATGAGCTCCTCGTTCCCGTCCTCATCAATCTCCATGATGGTGTAGCTCGACATGTGCGCCATGTATAGCGAGGCAATGGCACTTGCTTCTGTCTCGTTGGTGGCTATGGCGAGACCAAAGGCGCCCTCTCGGATGAATCGTCGTGCAACGGCCACGTCTGATTCCTCAAGGTCTTGGTTGTTGAGCGTACGGGCACGAGCCCACTCGCCCAGCAGGATGAGGCCTGCGTTGGCGTCGACCATGCCCTCTATGGTCTTGCTATATTTGTCACAGAGTGCTAACACATCCCTCTTTATCTTGACATCTATGGGGGGACCCTCCTCCTCCACCTTTTTGCATAGGTCGGAAATCTGGTTTAGGCCATCAATGGCCTGCTGCTGCTTCTTTATCTCAAGAGACTCGTCTTGGTGGCGCTTGCATAGATCGTCAATGACGTCGGGGTGTTTAGGGCTGTTAGCCCGGAAAAGACAGATGAGCCGTAGCTTAAGCTCGTTACCGTCGATTTCGGGGACGTGCTTTCCACCAATGGCCTCCTGAAGACCCTTTATTGCCTCGTCAAACCATCCGACGGCTGTGCCAATCGGGTTGTCCCAGTTCTTAACCGCTTCCAGGATTTCATGCGCATGAGGTGAAAGGATCGAAAAAGCCACCATGACCCCGCCCTGCCCGATGAGGCGGAGCTTCGGGAACCTGGACGCTCGTGTGGTCACCCTCGTGCCGGCGGAGCACTTTATGCCGCTGCGTTTCTGCGCTACGCATGACTTGCGCCTCTCATATATACGCCCTTGCTTCTTACGAGGGCCAAGAGGGTGGCCCGGCGTACCAGGCACACCGTTAGGCTTGGGGGGACGGGGCCGGTTTAGTTCGGGTAGGCCGCCAGGTAGGTTGGCCGACGGAGCGCTGATGTGCCCGCTGGGAGGATGAATGGCGCCCGCCAGGCCCCAGCTCCGCATCCCCTTCTTAACCAGCTCGTAAAGCTCGCGAGCTTGTTCTGAACCAGCCGGTGGGGGACTCCGAACTTGCAGGGCAGCAGTCGGACTGGCAAAGTTTATCCCAGCTAGGGCCAGCAAAGCAAGCGAAATAATCTTCATGTTAGGGGAGTAATGGGCGATCTCCAATGTAGCCGAGTCTTGTCGGTATGGGCGAGAAAAGATTCTGAAAAAGGGGGGGAAAATATAAAAGAAAATAAAAGAAGACTATTTCGTTGAAGTGCCAAATGATAAGGTTTACCATTAGCTCTATATATACTTTTTAAGACTATATTACGTCCGATAGAAGCCGAGAGGATGCTATACTAATGATTTCTATTTAGGCAGGCAGTCAAAATCACAAATTTATTTGTAGTGTATTTCACTAACGTGAATGCATAACGAGTCGCGCAGCATAACAAGCCGCGCACGTTAAAATCGCATAAAAAGGACACGTTTTTACCCCCTTATAAAAACAGCTAAATTTGACTAGAATAAAATAAAAATTTAGGAGAATATATCTTATATAATTTTAAATACACTACTCAATTTTTATGTATTACCTACAAACCACATATAAAGAAGTCACTAAAATTCTAATTCGCACTGTACAGATGCTCTAGTCTCGAAATACTTCTATGTATACATGGCCTAAAAAGTCGGTATCACTCTGATATTCTGTTAAAAAACTAGAGTATATATTAATAGCTATTTTTATTTATTTTTCGTGGTTTTTATAAGAGGGTTAAAGCGTGCTATTTATACGGGATTTTAAAGTGCGCGGCTTATTATGCTACGCGACTTGTTATGCATTCACGTTAGGCATATTAATAACGTGGTATAAGCTAGCCTAAAGCTCACAACTATATTATAGGCAGATATATAAGCTAGGTATAGAGTAGTAACCTTACTGATTTCTATTATCGTAAGATTATCAGCATTTCTCCTTTTAAAAAGAATAGAATGCTCTCAGTCATGACCACCTTTTCGTATTCAGTAGAGCTCCCTATGAACTCCAAGTATCAAGGTCGGGCGTTGAGCAAAAAACTCTTGTGCAAGTAGCATCACTTTATTAGATACAATATCGCCACTTTTTCGGTATTACTCGTCGCAATGTTAAGCCGAAAATTGCGGGTTTGCTCTTGAATCGTTAATCTCTGTAGGTTGAAGCTCAATCGTTTAGTGGCGCGCACCTTTTGGCAGCTACTTGCCGGGGTTACCCATCTTACCCAGTAACTCTTATGAACTGTCGAACCTCAAACATTCAGCCATCGCGGACCGCGCTCGTGCTAAGATTGTCTACTCGTGCCACGCCCCCACTCTTTTGGTTCCGTCTTCGCCTGCACCCTCAAAGAGTGGGGGCGTGGCACGAGTATCTGAATATACCCTGCTGCACTTGCTTCCCAAGCAGGGTGCGGGACCTCGGCCTGGAGCAAATCTTAGCGTGCACGCCGTGCTTGGTGCTCTCGGACTGCCTTGCAACTTGCTGTTATAACAGCATATCAGCGTATCCAAGGTGACTCCTCCTACCTTGAATTAATTAACCGCCATCTCGACACACATGTCAGGTTTCTTTTTCATGTATCTCCAATGTAGCCGAGTCTTGTAGGTATCTAGAAGCCGGTCACTTTCAGGAAACACTGAAACAAGACAGGAAAACCTCAAAAAAGAAAAAAAAATCTTGGCGCGCCGCCGTATCCCTTGCCTGTGCTTTCGCCCAGTTTTTCGCCTCAGCCGTGGCGAGCTTGGCGTTTCGGTCCGCCACGCTGAAGCGGTCTCAACTAGTAAACAACCAAACCGTCCACACAGGCGGGGCGCTTTTGACAGGCTCATGTTGACCAAAAGCGAAACGAAAGGGTTCCAAAGACTTCTTTTGGCCAGTGAAAGGCAACCAGAGAGGCGGCAAAATATAAGGCAGCGGTATACAGCATGGACAGCCGATCAGTACGTTGTTTGTAGACATGAAGCAAAGCTGGGCAGCCGCAAAAGGTTCTGTGTGGGCTGGTGAGCAACTTCAAAAGAGCGAGCTTTTAGCAGCCAAGGAATTTGGGGGGGCAAGGGTATTTCGAAGAAACGGGATTACCACCAAATTTGTGGTTGCAGCGGCAGCCTTCCTCTTCGCTGCCAACTGCAGCCGTACAGCTTCTTCCCGCCATTTGCTCGACCACCAGGATCCAGTCATGGCTCAGGTAGTCCATGGGAGTCAAATTGGGATGGCTTCTCAGAAGCAAGAATTTGGCACAAGACTTTTCTTTTACAAACTGCATTACGCGATACTGCAGCTGTTGGCGAATAAGACATATCCATGGCGCTGGCGCTGCTTGTCGTTGAGGTACCTTGCTGAGGTGGAGACCGCCGGGCGACCGCGGTTTTTGGCGGTAGTTGTTTGCCGCTCTTAGGTTTTTTCGGTATGCCCTTTCCCCCCTGGACCCTTCAAAACCGACCTTCTGCGGCAACGCAACGAGCATTTCTCGTACTGCCAGTGATATGTCTTCAAAATTGATATTATAATACACTCGTATTAATACAATGCCTTTTTCTTTCTGAGCACTAAGCGCGGTTAATAATACTGTACCGCTATAGCACCTGACCCAGTTGTTTATGTATATGCAAGGGATGCTGATATCTAGCTAGTGGTTGGGGCTAGAGCCGATTGCGGCTTCCGATCGAACGATTCGCAGCAGTTGGTGTGCCACTGTCAAGGCACGCTGAAGATCTTTGACCCTTCGACGGCTGGGCCGGAGTGGCAGGCCACGCTTTGGTGACTGGCCACCCTCTTCTTGTACCAATTAAGAGACTTCAATCGCATTAAAAAAAGTATTTCAAGTGTGTGAAAGACGTGTTTTAATGTATCAAATTGATAGTATCCAGCTTTTCATAACCAAGCTAGTTGCCTGAACAATAATTAATAATAAGCGATAACTCTAGGCCGTCGAACACATCGATCCAGGATAGGGCCATAATACTGACGAGTACTGTAATTAAACCTTATTCCTATAGACTATAGCAACCCTGTTCCCATGAAATATAGATCTTTCTTATAGTCTATAGCCAGATTGTCTATCCATGCGTTAGCCGCGCTATTCAGACCAAGTTTACTTTCGTGTATAGCCCACGAGGTGTCTATGGTGTGTTTTTAGGCCAATTCTCATTCATCGAGATATTTTAGCACAAGTATATAAACCAATAATACTTCCATCTGTTACAACGACGTAGTAGACTTGTTGCTTTGCTCGGTGTCTATCTGAAAAGCCCGTCTTACTTAAGCAGTCTTACGTCTTTTCACTGTCTAATTCTCTCACTGCCTAGAAAGGTAAAGATGCTTTGGTCTCCCTCCGGATGCGTGGCTGTATTCTTCGCCGTCCTAGACGTATGCCAGGCGCATAATCCAGGAGAGGGCGTTGAAATTTGCGCAAATGACCCTCTTAACCCGCCTTGTACTACGGTCGAAGCCCCTAGCGGCCTTTGCGGTAAGTTTCGTCATTCCGCCTAAGTTTCTATTAACTAATGCGCTAGATTTAAGTCGCCATACCAGAGGAGTATAAGAACAAGGTATCTGGCGTCAGGGCAAACGATACTGCTAGTATCTGCCGCTTTTATCTGTAAGTGCTTATTTCTGCTGGCTTAGTTACACGGAGAACTAATACGACAAAAATCTATTTTCTATAGAGAGCCGGAGTGTAAGGGCGAGTACTTTGAAGCTGGTACTGAAGCTGTTAACCTCTACACGGGGCGTCCTGAGTTTAATGATAAGGTCACTTCCTTTATTTGCGACACGGCAAAACTAATAGCAGCACCTAAGTCCTCGGAATGGACGTTCGGGCGCCAGAGGGAATTATGCACTCATTTAGAGACGCTATCTCTTCAATTTAAGCTAGGTAATAATATTGGATCCGGGACGTACGATAAGATCAAATTAGGTTTTGAGCACGCCGGACAAACGGTACACGTCATCGCAGAAGGCCCTTTCCATGGTTACGAGGTTTCCCAGGATATTAATATACAGGACGTGTTTGGGATGGAAACTGTGGCACTAAGTAAAATTAACAGACTCCGCCTTCTTGATGAGCAACCAGGCTGGACATTTGGAGCAGACAAGTGGGAAATTGCTGGTATGTAAAACATCTCCCCACGCTCTCTTATTGTTTTTTTTAAAGGTTTTTTCTTCAAAAAGCTAACCTAGTCTAGGATTCACGCTCAAAGGACGATGCGCTAACTCGGGAATGACTATCGCGCTTGAGAAATTTTCCTCTCTCAACGAGTGGTTGCAGGCTCCGGGATGGTTCCCGTACCAGGTGGAATTGGAGGTCTGGGCAGGCGACGTCCAACCCGAAGACTGGGTTACTAAGTCTCTATGCAAGCAATTCCCAAGCATGAAGACGTCAATCTGCATATTGCCGATGAAGACTGGGACAGGAGTCAGCCCTATCAATTAATATAATTGTCGGCGGCAGGTGTCGACGTGTATCAAGGTGGGAAGAAATTCGATTCACAAAAGGCAGGGGGTGCCGACGTTTTTTATTCTTGGTAAATCCACACTAAAAACAAGCAGAGAGGTGCCGACTTTCTTCGCGCCAGAACATCGAGATGGTGTGCAAGAGTTACCGCTGGATGAGACACTCTCAGAACAATCTTTCCTTTCAAATTCAGGCTCAATCTCAAACATCAAGGACAGAGAATACCACTTTATGCATTTGACATCTAAAGAGTACTTTGCCGCGCAGTATTTTATGCGATATGCAGCACACTACGACAATTTCTGGCGCTTTGTTGCTGGTTTGCTTGACCGCAGTGGCCAGGCTTTAAACGTAATCTGTACAATTGAGGAGACACCAGTCGCCCTCTGGGGTCTCACGCACCAGCGACTGGTCATGCATTGCTTGGCCGAGATCTCAAGCAATCTGCTAACGCGGACGTTATACTGAGACGGCGCTCTGCGATATTTTGGTGGAGAGTAGCGATACACCCCCGCTCGTGACGAAGCTGGGCAAGGAGCAATAGAATCATCAGCCAGTAGTGCCCCCAAGCATGCGAGTAATCACTGCTTATTCACTATTCAAACGCATTGAAACTGGCGGCGTCTCTCCAGTCTTTAATAGCCGCGTAACAGAAGCCTGCCAGTGGTTTACATGCCCAGAGACTAACTCCCTTACTTGACAGGCGTTCCGACATCGACACCTGTAAATTTGTTAAGAAGCAGCTTTCGACAACACCTTTTCATTTTGTTCATGTACCCATCATCGATCGCGGTTACAGTTGCTGCCCGCTTAGCACCTTCGAGGACGGCAACATCCTTGGCGAGGTCGGCCAACGTCGCAAAGTCACCCCTCCAACAGCGAAGGGTCAGTGCATCTAATAGGGAGCCGGATAGCTCCGGAAACACCATATTATGCCAGAGATTTATAGCTTCCGCGCCTTTATCCTCGGATGGTTCGAAACCACGCGTCAAATTGAACAGGATAGAACCGAAGGCAAACTTCTCACTCTGTGCTCCGTACAGTCCATAAGTTCCAAGAAGTTTTCCACTTTCTTTACCAAGCACTCGTGACCACGGTGGTGCTAGGCCCAAATTCTCAGCGCCAATCTTACAACTGCTGTTAAAGTCAGCCAGCTTTAGGTGGTCATCGTTGTCGAGGAGGAGATTTGTTGGGCGAAGATCCCCCTGGACCAATCCAAGGGATTCTAGCCAAGCAAGGGCCCGAGACAGTTCCGCAGACCACTGCTCGATTTTCGGTGTCGGCTCCAAACGCAAGACTTCCAGACATACATGTTTCTGTAGGTCTCGACGCTGGTTCCGTTGCAGACGAGCATCTAAGCTGTCGACCATCAGCTGCATAAAATTTATACCAGGCAACCGTAGAAAACTCTGAATGAATAATGGAGGAGGGTGGTTCCGCTCGATAGGTCGTACGTTTCGTTTTCGACCTGAAATTCGTCAAGACGGCCTGCCAGGAGCGGCCTTGAAAAACCACCCTGTCGCGCCTTTCGAGACAAAATTGCATTTGTCTAGCGTTCCAGGAAGCTCTTCAAACAACACATGTTGGTGGTGACTAAAGCGATGTATCTAGAAAGATGTACAAGAAGATATAACGAGCACGACCGGATGTGGGCAGTTCAAGGTCAAGGGCTCAGAAACGCACGAGCGACCTGCCAATAAATAGTAAGATTCATTGAGTCTGCCTGACTAATCAGCCTTGCTGCATGTCGGTCGCTGCTAGTGCAACTGTGTTAGTGGGCTCCTCCAGCTAGCTATTCCTAGATAGATTTCAAGTTTCCAACATCGCCTTGGGCTTCCAGAGCCCATCACGGAACACCCACGCGCCCGAATCCTTATAATCATCGCATGGCGAGCGTATCGTGCTTAAGCCAGCCCTGGCTGTGGTTTTCACCGTTCCACAGTCTCCGCAGTCCTTATACGGACGAATTACCGACGGCTCATCTATGGTATGATTGCACTGGTATTTTCGATTATGGATAATTTCGATGCACATCTTCTCGACTGTTTCAGCACGATTCGATCTCCAGAACGTGGGGAAATTAACTAACCTTGTATGCTAAGAAGATAGGTAAGGTGGTATCCGAGCTGAAAGTAGAATGTTGAACGATTGCAACTTGCATGAGTGACTATTTGAGCCATCGTGCTTTTTATCCTCAGTATACGTCACCTCAGCAAAAGAGCACTACATAATGTCATCCTAAGCAGCCGACTCTTTGACTGCAGGTTTGGAATACGTGAACGCGGAGTATATGCATGCACACAAGCACACAAAGGCTACCGCAGCTTCAGATGACTAGTTATACTCCAAACGTCTTTCGCGTGTTTTTGCCCAATAGCATGATGGCTCAAAGGCGCCACAGCGGCTCGCGAAACATTTCCGAAAAACGAAGACTGGCGTCACAACACCCTCAAGATCACGGCATTATGGATAGCACTGACAGATGCCTCAATCACCATCAAGGATCATCTTTGATTGTAATGTTATTGCGGATACTCTAGTAAAAAGAAGCAACAATGATAAAAAATGCGGATATAAGCATTGACTTTTCTGGTCCGCCTGATTCCCACAGCTATTCCTTTTATTCCACTATTTGCAGGGGAGCTGAGCGACGAGCCGCTCAACAAAATACATATTTGGCGCCGCTTTTATGACTTCGCGAAAGAGCAACAATATTATCATGTGTCCTTTCTCTTGTGTTTCAATGTGCTAAGCCCTTCATAGCTCTAGTAGCCGTTACACTACCTGCTGTCAAGGCTGCAAGGTACTTAAGGCCCGAGATGAAAGAGCGTGATAACCAGGCGCAACACAGGCCTACTAGTTCGCGCGCCTAATTAATACTCTGTTATGGTTATGCGCAGGCTTGCTTTCTGCGAAAGGGGCAGTGCTTACTGGTTCCAGAAAAAAAAAAGAAACTCGAGGTCCCGAATTCTCATGTCTCGCTCCTCTACCGTCAATCATACGTTGCCTTGTCCGGAGCCCACACCGAGAAAAGTCTTGTTTGTATTGAGTCTATTGACGAGCTCCAGGCACTGGAAACCCTGCTGCACAAACCCTGGGCGCATTTGCGCCAGTCTCAAAATGACCGAAGCTTTTATTAAGCTCACCAACCGCAGTAGTGGAGAGATCAGCGCTGTCCTCGCTTTTAGCTAGAACAGGGATACTGTGGGAGGGTTCTCTCCCACGGGCATCTTGGCACCTTTTTGGCGAGCTGGTCGGCCAGCTCGTTACCTTCGATTCCGGCATGGCCTGGGCACCAAAGCACACGGATCATACCTGGGTTCGCATCACCCGTCTTCTGAAATGTACGGAACGCCATTTGTGATGACGGTGATGCTGTCGTGCCTATGCAGTCAATGACCGAGGTATTGTCGATGCAGATGGTGATCTTTTCCTTTTGGCGTCGTTGCGCGATTGTAGTACGGAGGCCTTCTAGGGCGCCTCTGATCTTGGCGTCGAACACTTCGCCCTTACCAATCTATCCGCGACCTTGTGCAATGAGTCGCTGCTGTCGATAGACAGCATACGCCCATCCCGCCGTGTCTCTTTCGGTTTTGGAGCCGTCGCTATAGACTACTAATCTCGTCTGGGTCCTGCTCTAAACTTGCATTCGCTTAATTTGACGTTCTTTTGTCGGGCGACTCCCTTTGCTTTCCGTCCGGATAGTATCTGAGAAGCGTTGGGGGATTAGGCGTGGACGCTCTATCGCTGGTGCTAGAGTGGCATTGTGGAAGAACCTGACGCCTTTTATGGCTGTTCGCCGTGCCGTGTCTACGTTCGGGTTAGTGGCGTACTGAATCTCGAGCTCTTGCTGCAGAAAGCGGCGGATAAGCGGGTGGTACTTATGGAGTAACTCTCGAAAGTAACCCTACGAGTGGCGGGTTTCGGGCTCTCTTTCCTTGATAGACCAGACTTCTGTGGAAAAGATGGCGTCAACTATCTCCATTTCACTTTGGATGCCTGAACGTTCCATTTTGGCCTGCAATTTAGACTCTTTCCGTAGCGTTTGTTGTGCCCCATGTTCAGTTGTACTAAGAATATCCAACCTTGGTTACAACCTGAACCAGAAAAGGGGCCAAAATGCCCACAACCTAAGCGACCGTATAAAAAAGATAAAAGATTCTCGCTGCTGCGTCCGCTTTCTATTGGCAAGCGTACTCTCCATACAGTCCGTAACAGTATGGTCAATTGCTGTTTGCTTAGCGCATTCTCTTCACTCAAAATTTGTCCTCAGGGCCGTCGAATTTCGATACCCGAGATATGTGTCATTACAAATATTTTAATTAAATACCCTTGCAGACATGCAGGCATCATGCCGGAGGTTGATGTTGCAGCCAACTGCACAATCAACCAACAGGCTGATGGCGACGTTCTCCTTGCCGCCACGCACGGTACGGTCTGGGATGCTGACTGTATCTTTCCGATACCCGACAATTACCAATCTGAACATGCTGCTCCAATGATGTGTGCCGGCGCAACTGTGTGGCAATGTCTACATCAATATGATGTTCGGCCTGCCCAAAGAGTTGGCATTATGGGCATTGGCGGTCTTGGCCACTTGGCGATCAAAATCGCAGCCGCCATGGGATGCCATGTTGTGGCGTTGTCCAGATCCCCAGACAAAAGAGATGATGCCTGTGACGGTACAAGGCACGAACAAGGTCAAGTATAACTTAGATAAAGCAATTATTTATAAGGAAAAAAAGAAAACCCTTAAAAGGAACTTTAATTAAAGCTTTTTATATAATATTTATAAAGTAAGATATTTATTAAATAAATAAGTTATATAATTCTTTTATATATAAT